CTGAGGTAGCATTCAAGTTTTTAAAAAGTCGGTAAAAATCCACACTCCAGACACCACCAACAAAAATCTATTCCATATATGAAAAATTCAACAGACAAATTTTTAGTATTACATCTTCTCTTCATTCTGTGAAAATTTCATGAAGATTGGATGAAAAATGGTGGAGTTATGTAAAAAAAAAGTATAAAGAACTGTCGCGTTTTGAGAAAACGGCCGATAAAGAAAAATAAAATACTGACCTTATGAGGAAATGGCGGTGACAAACATGCCCGGTATGGGAAAAACTACGGTTTTTGGGGGTTGGTATGTGATGAAATAGTTGTAGGAGAGGCCGAGGAAGCTAAAAATGCCTACAATTCAAATTCTATCATTTTGAGCCGAATTTTGACTTTGGGGGTGTAGCGCCCCCCACCCCCCCTCCCCCTTAAAAGTTTTACGATACATGTATTTGCTGCACAATGGCCTGTTCGATAGGTTTTAACATACATAAAAGAAATAGAGGAGAGATAAGGACGATACCTTTGACAAGAAAGGAGCAAACCACACCAGAGCAGAGCACTCGTTCACCACCCGCCAACCACCCACCTCCTTGTTTTTCCATTCAATTGTCTTTCAGAGCTGCAACGAAGGATTTTGCGTCGACGCACTCAGCCCAGATGGCGTACTAGTGAACGGTGCGTATTATTCATATTTGTGTTTTGCGCCGTACTTGAATTACCGTATTCAATACTTCAAACCAAACTTGGAACCCTGAAGAGACGAAAATTCGGATTGCCAGTGGCGCCCTCCAACCACCCGCTTACCCAACCATGATACATTACTCAGCGAAAGGGGGGGGGGGGTGTTGCCCTTTTCAGGACAGCCCTGCATTTGTTCCCTTTGTGAGTTCAACTCTTGTAGCTAAAAAAAAAACTGGCATGCACAACGCCACACCCTCATTATTATAGTTTTATTTTTATTTTAACGTTATCACATTATAGTTATTTTTTTATTTTACCGTTATCAAATTGGTTTTTATATTATTACGGTTATTATAGCTAGCATGTGTGGTGTAGCTGTTAGGCGCTTCGCTGTCTCATGTAGGAATCATCATCATCATCATTCATCATCATCCTCATCATCATCCTCATCATCATCATCATCCATCATCATGATGATGATCATCATCATCATCATCCTCATCATCACCATCATCATCATCATCATCATCATCATCATCATCATCATCATCATCATCATCCTCATCCTCATCATCATTGCCACCATTGATATTATATACACGCCTATTACTACATGTATAGCTAACTCATGTTTTCTCTGCTTGCGCCCTTCCTATGTCTGCTGCTGTTTCCCGTCAAAGACACGAGCTGCCTGTGGGGTGACCAGCGACTGTCACCTGACCCCAGTGACCACGCCCAGCTGGTCACGTGTGGAGAAATAGCGGCCAGCCACAAACAGCTTCTGTGTGATGACGCAACAGGGAGGGGAGTGTGCTGCTTTACTTGTGGCCAGGGCGAACACAACTGAAAGTATAGGCCTACATAACAATGCATATATTAAATATGTATACACAGTCTTCGACTTTTGAGATGGTTTTTTGTGCTAAATTATAGTAGTTTTACCAAAGATTCTCTACCAGAGTAATAGCTAATCTTTTGTTTTGTTATAGTAACAGTTTTACAGCACTTGCAAAATAAATAGAACTGAAAAAGCAATATACGAGGGACGTCCTGAAAGTAAGTAGACCTACCGTTTCACAATAAGTATAAAAGAAATAATTTTCTCAATCAAAACGATTTATTTTTGAATACCTCATATATGACTACTTCTTCACGTAGTAACCAGAACTGTTGAGGCATTTGTCGTAACGTGGGACGCGCTTCTGAATGCCCTCATCGTGGAAAACTGCCGCCTGCGATGTCAGCCAATGTCCAGTCTCTCTTGTGAGATCAGCGTCTGAGTCGGAAGTTCTGCCAGGCCAAAAATATTTTCAAATGCAGGAACAGATCAAAGTCACTCGGAGCCAGGTCTGGGCTGTACGATTGGTGCTTCAATTGTTTCGGAAGACGACAGGGTCGACCTGGTGATTTAGTACAATGGCAGCCCAGATCATGTCACTAGGGCCACCCCACACGTCGGCTTCCATCATGTTGAGGTCTGCGTTGCGTTCGCCGTTCCTCCTTCAGGTTCTGACTCTTCTATCCGCGTCAACTCTCGTCAGACAAAAGAATGTTTCTCCTTTGCCTCCATGTCCAATGAAACCGATGCTGGGCACAGGCTAACTTCTGTTGTCTGTGGCGGATAGTGAAGACTGGGCCAACCGCAGGACGACAGCACCCGAGTCCTCGAGTCTGAAGTCGTCTCCGCATGGTCTGGCCGGATATCGATCGTCCGTGGCTTCCAATTGTCCCCCTTGCTGTTTTGGCTGCAGGCATCGGTGATGACAGCGCGTAATCAGTCGATCTTGGCGTGCGGATGTGACCCTTGGTTTTCCGCTTCTGACCAAGTCTTGGGTGCTGCCAGATGTTTGAAAACGTGTCCACAACCTACAAACTGTTGAAAGGGACACATGAAATGCGATAGCGACGTCAGTACGACTGTCCCCAGCTTGTAAACGCCCAATGGCTCCCTCTCGATCTGTTGCGCTCAGCCGTGGCATCGTCTAGGCGGTCAACTGCTTCACTGGCCAAAGCGTATTGGTGTGACTTTTTAGACCCTGATATGCCACGAACACTAATCAAGAAAAAAAATTCACTCACCTCTGTTTTCAATCACGCAGGGCTAAAAGCACAAACTTTTCATTGACCGACTTTCGTGAGCTTAAGATGAGTACTTTTTACTCAACACTCACGGGCTGCACTCTGGAGACCTAAACACCTCTGGAGCGTCTACTAGTATTTATCTGAAAAATATTTTCCAACACATTTTAGGGTGAAAATCGACCAAACTAAAGACTTGCGTTTCTTTTGGCATTCAGTATATTATTATATTTGTCAACGTGGAAACACATGTGTCACTTTTCCCATAAAACTACGACAGCTACAGAGTTGACAGTTGGCAAGTACCAGCAAAAAGATAGATAGGTTCTCATGACAGAGCCATATATCTTATTTATTCATTTCCTGAATTTAGACAAATATATTTGACAAAAAGTTCACGTCCTTCTTTGGCCTTTGTGATTATTCCACTGAGAAACGAAACAAATCTGCGTAGTTCTGTCCTTCACAGCGGAAGTGCCGGAAGTGATACTTCGCGAGGCGCATTTTGTTTTGAGAGTATAGATCGAGACCTAATTTAGTCATTTTTTGGATCTCTCAAGATTTATTGCTCCATTCCAGTAGAGTGTAAATATTGTAGGCCAATGACTTTCAGTTGATGTTAATGCACTGATCATTCCTTTCATCGAAAGGGGGCTCAGCTTGTATAATATAAAAGTGGTCTGGCACTTTCTTTGCTGTCGAACAAACTAGATCCGAGTTCGACTTCCGAGACGGTAGCTTTTTGGGGGGTTTATGGAGCATCCGACTTCCGATAGGGTAGTTTTTTATTGAGCATCTTGACCTTTCTTTTTTTTCAAATCCCTTGCCCATTTCTATGATATTGACGCCATCTGATTAGTAGAAAATGTGCGTATGAGAATGTCCAATAGGGTGCTACGTACATAATTGTTATGACATGTAACTGTTACATATATATTGTTAAAGATAATTAAAGATGTATGTGAAGGATCTGAGAGCAATGACGATTTTAAAAATGACGGTTGTAGTGGTGATAAGTGATGATGTCGGATGGTGTTTATGTAAATAATTATTAAGAAGACATGCTCTGGTGAGTCAAGAGGGATGTGGGCACATCTTGACCTTTCTAGCCTCTTGGTGTTATTCCATGTCTTCCCACTTTTCTGTACAATCATTGTATGGTATGGGATACGGGTTTAACGCCCCTATCAACACTAATAAGTTATTTAAGGAGCGGGACCTCCTAGTTTAACGTCCGTCACCGATAGGACCGAGCCAAGTGGGAAGTTCGTATAAAGTGCCTTTCCCAAGGACACAACGTCGGATCGAGCTGAGGCTCGAACCCCCGAACCCGCAATCTCACGATTGCGAGTCCGGTAGCTTAACCACTAGGCTACGTTCAATCATGAAAGTTCAAATAAAAACATCAGTCAGAAGTAAAAGACCTAGGCTTCTGATCTGTAACAAAGACCGATACAGAAGATCATTTTAACCATCATCCATCAAAATTCTTTCATCTTAACCATCTTGTTACAAGTATTCATATGACATTAGAGTATGCATCAGAATGACGTACCGTTACAGTCAGAATACTGAGTATGTATCTACGAGTAGCTTGTGATTATTATTGTTTATATTATTACTGTTCATTTAACAAGTGACTGCAAGTCTGCGTGTGTGTATGTTTGTGTGTTGTGTATGTGTCTGTGTATGTGTGCGTGTGTGTATGAATGTGTATGTGTGTACGTGTGTACGGGGTGAAACACCAAACCAATGTGCCAGGATCTGGACAATAAAGAAGTATCTTGTCTTATCTTATCGTATAAGAGGCAAATCAAACGACCTTACAATAAGAACCTTTACCCCGGCTCGTATCGGAAGCGGAAAGTCCGGGTTCTCGAGCCTCGGTTCGGATACTGATTTTTTTTCGCCCCTTCCTGCTCACCCAGATGTAATGGGTACCTGGCTTAGAGTTCGGGAAGTAAAGGTCGCGTGGAAAGGAATTGGCCACCCTACCACAATATGCCGAAGGCCCAAGGAAGTTGTCTCACTAACAAGGCAATCCCCAATGTCCGGATCGGATGCGGGAACAACTTATACTTTTTACCCCGTCTCTCGTCTCACAATGAGTTGATGTACAAAGACGGCTGTAATCAGTGGCGGCTCGTGGTTTATAGAACTGACCGGCGGTCATTCACGTCGACTATTTTTCCCTCCCCCATCCCCTTTCCTTCC